ATGTTGCTAAGGAAAGCCAAGAGCCAAGGATTGTTCCAAGTTGTGCCTGCAAGGCACCAAGTCCGTTCTAAAAAAGGTTGAGAGCACCTCATTTTTTGGCTCCCTCCCCCCTGCCAGCTACTTTTTTCCTGGAGAACTAGCCCACAAGTCAAACATTTAGCTTTGAACCCACACCTAGCCTTTTTAGCAAGGGTTTTGCTTTTGGAAGTTTCTCTCACACACCCTGACAGTAATGATCCACCTCTCAGTTTTCATTTTGAGAAGCACCCACACTCTCAGCATTTCTAACTGTGCAACAAAGCTCCTTATCCTCACGTTCATCCAAGGGTTTTTAGTCTTTAACTGCAGCAGACTGGGAGAGAATGTGGCGGCCAGGACTGGAGATCATTTGTAGGATGCAGTGAAGCAGCCTGGCAGGAGCTTCAAGAATCCTGTACCCACAAATGCAGCTGTGGTTCTCAAAGTGCAATTCTGCAAGAGGAACAGGGGAACAGCAACTGCACAGTATTTATTTGAGATGCCTCCAGCTAGCGAGTTTTATCTTGTAAGCAAGAGCTGCTCGACCTGGAGTGCATGACCCCACATTTTTATCACTGAATTACATTATTTTCTGTTATCCAAGCTCAAGGTCATCCTTTTGCTCAGTACTGTGCCAGTCCTTCTATATTTGTTCCATCAGCAATCCTCTGGAGTACTTCACTAGGTATTCAAGGTCAGACTGCTCTTTGATACTTCCTCTTTCTAAACTACAAGTTATTGCCCCTTCCTCTGGTAACATTAAAATCTTTTTAATATTTGCAGGAGACCTCGGTTGCCTCACACTTCAAGAGAACCATGTGCTTTCCTCAGAGCACCCGCTGTGACCTGCCAACCCTTCTGCTATTCCGTGTGGGGTCAGCGCGTGTTCTGATCGCATTTTTAGCCACAGCATTTCCTAACCCGCAGAGGAGCAGACCACAGAATCATTGTTACTTCCTTTCATTCCGGAGGAAAGTACAATGAGCACCTTAAATCAAATACACTCAAATCCGGCCAGAGGATCTTTGTTGCTCATAGCCGCAGACAGCCCCAATTATCTTCAAACTGCAATTATAATGAGCCAGGCCTGCTCTCTTGAACGGGCGATTTCATACCTTTAGGGTGTATTGAACAAAAGCGAAAGGCCGTTTCAAAACGCACCATCAGCCTCCCATCCTACCACCTTCAGACTGTCACAAAAATGCGGTCAGGCCACCGCAGCCGCGGCCGGGGTGCGGTACCGAACCGCGGGCATCGCGCACGGACCGCGGCACGCCTGGTGCCCAAGGGGCTCCGGGGCGACCTCCGAGCCTTCCCCGCCCAGGCCGCCGCTACACCGCTCTGGGACAGGGGAACCCGCCCCCTGCATGTCTCCGAGCCAGCGCTCGGGTTTGGGGTTTTTTAAGGCTTAGAAGCGAGATGCCGCCTCGCCTGTCGGGGGAAGGGGCCGCTCGGCTCCCGGCAGGCGCTCTGCGCGCTCCCCCGCCGGCCCGCCCCGCGGCTCCTCCCCGCGCAGCGCTGATAAAGGCCGGAGCGTTGGAAGGACTTATCTGCCCGCTCTCCCCGCCAAAAAAAGCCCACACCAGGGAAAACTGAACACGGCTGTGCAGGCGGCAGCCGCAGCAGCGCGATCCCTCGGGAGCGGGACGCGGGGAGAAAGGGCTCGCCCTACGCGCCTCGCTCAAGGGCGCATCTGCGCAGAGGGGGAGGGGAAAGAGAACAAAAAACCCACCCAAAACAGTAACAAAAAAATCACATAAAAATAAAATGAAATTTAAAAAACCCAAACCAAACAAACCCCAAACCCCTGTGCAAAGCCCCCAGCACCCCGCGGCCCCGCACACTCACTCGGAGCGCAGACCCGGTCCCGCACACGCAGCAGCAGAAGCGGCTCGGCTCGGCTCGGCCCGCACTGCCGCAGCCCCGCCGCGCCGCCCCCTTTATAGCAGCGCGGATCTCGCGAGCGGACGCGGCGGGGAGGGGAGGGCGGCAGCGCCTGCAAGGGCAGCATGACTTGGCAGATCCGGGGCAATCGGGGTGCGAGTGAACGCAGATCTTTCCCTGGAGAGAGTCCCGGCAAGTGCCGTGGAAATATCCAATGCCGCGGTTATAAACGATTGATGGGCTTGCTGCAAGAAGCAATGGCATTTTTAGTGCCTTAATTGACCTAGTTATGATTATTTGAAGTCCTCAGAGGGTACGCAGGACTTTGAGAGAGAGTAAGGGGTGACTGGCATGTCATTCATGTGAATTAAGTGTTGGCCATTGACAGAAGTAGAACGAAACCTCTCACGAGCAGAGATGTACGTTCGCAGTGTTACAGAGGTGCGGTGTCAAATCTCCATCCTCTCTCTCTGCACTACCCACTGCCCCCTCTCCCTGATACTCGTTCCCAAGGCTTTCATTGATTCTTCTCCATCAATGGGAACACCGATCCCAGTCATACAAGTCAGCAAAAGAAAGATGAAAACTAAGTTTAAAGTCTAAGCGTTGAGCTTCAGTGGTAGGATGGAAACCCTTGGGAGATACAGTTATTTCAGGGAGTTGCATCATTCAGTAGTGAAGCTGCTCTGAGGGACGTTTAACCTCAGTGATTCTGCCATAGGCACTGTCTTTGAATCCAAGAGTGAAGAAGCAGTGTGGTACTTTTTAAGGGCCAAATTCTGAATTTAAATGTGAAAGCTTTATTAAATAATGAATAAAAGCCATTAAGCCATATCAAGGACAAAAATGCTTGCTTCTGTCAAAAGTGATAAATGTGCTCACCAACTGATTTTTACTCATCTGGTTTGCAGTTTACAGTTGTGTTTCTTATACCTGTTAAAACTTGATTATAAATTGTAATGAGTAGAAAACCACAAAGGATTAACAAACTTTAAATATTTATAATCAAGATCACTGTGTAGTGTTGCTCGGTGACCATACCCATGTGGTGGTTCATCCAGAGATGACTCATTTTGGGACTAGATGAAATTAATTGTCAAATAATGAAAGCAAATAACATGCATATATGGACTCAGGAAAAAATCTGCACTCACTTTCATGCAAGCAATTTATCTACTTCTATTGCTAGAGCACGCTTAATCTTTTACAGGAAGAAGTTTGCTCTCTTAACATCAGCATTCTCCTGAGAATTGAGGGCTTATATTGAGACATGTATGTGCCTCCCCATCACCTCAGGCCAATCAACCTGTGAACATTAACCCCTGAAAGGTCAGGCAGTCCTAATCAAAACCTCCAGAACAATGTAGTCCCACTGCAGTTCCAGCATGATTACCAATGGACAAAGCAGTAATGACTTTCTCATGGTTTCTGACTCCTTTAATGCTTGTTGTGCTCATTTCTCTTACTTTCAGATGCACAACATACCCACTATGGTCTGCAGGTTGTTCCAGGTTTGTGCCGTAAGCATTGCCTTTCCATTCATATGTCTGTTCATTTTGATTAATTTCTGAGCTTGCCTTTCCAGCTGTCAGTTTCTGGAGGTATTGGAATAATAAATTGTCAGGGCCACTCCTTGTTCAGTGAGCACCTGGGTGCCTTTCTCAACCTTTAGATGTAGGATGCTACTTAGATTAAAACAATTATGTTTTCCAGGAAAGAGAGGGCATGTCTACCCCCACAGGTGCTGGAAGGATGGAGTTCTCTCCCCACAGCAGTGTAACTGTGCTGTTGTGTTGTGCTGAAATAGCTGCCAGACAGGATCAGCTTGTACCTGATTAGCATGGAGCATCAGAGCCCAGTGCAGGCCTCTGTGCACCCATCCACTCAGGGACACAATAAGTACTTCATCTATCAACAAAGAGGAGCTGGCAGGCCCTGCAGTGCCAGAGCAGTGAAACTACCCACACTGGGAGCCAAACTAGCTTTCACATCCATCATTTTGATCACAGTATCTCCCATGTATCTTGGTTGGGAATGGGCCCCTGATGTGAAAAACAAATGCCCTGCTGTGTGTAAAAAGAAAGACAAAAAAACTGGACCTGTTTCAGAACATTACCACACATTTGGGTTTCCATGCATTTGAGAATGGTTTTGTTTAAGAGTATCAAAGATTTCCAGAATAAGATAAACTTCGTTGGAATAGTAATGGATTTGGCAACACTGGGCATGTCCCTGGAGCACACAGTAGAAGTAGTCCCTGCATGCCCTCAAAAACCAGCGTGTTGGGACACCCCCACACATTCCCTGTGGAGTTCATCACTGCATGTGCCAAAAGCCCACTGAATCCTAAATATACCAAACCTCCTACGTACACATGGTACTACCAGAGGCACAGTCAGAGTCGAGTCCTGGCCATGTGAGGACAATTTAATTTAACATGTGCAGAAAGTCAGCTGACAAGTTAGCAACTGACAAGTTCCATGGGGCATTTATGCACAAGCAGCTGGTGCACAATCATTTTAATGAAAACAACTGCATGTGATTAAATACACAATGCACATATTGGCTTTCCTTGTTTGAATCAAGTTTTTTACCTATTTCAAGGTCAAAATTACCTCTTCTCTGCATTTTTTTTTTCAATTAGCAGGCCATTACTGTATGTTTAGATAACCACTGCCTTTTGATGACAAAATGTTTAGTCTTCCTGACCTTTTCTCTGTTACTCCCCTATTACATTAGTGGAGGCTGAGGTTTGTTAAATTTTTCATATGTGATATTTACATAATTCAACCATCTTCTTTTGCTTGAAGATTGTGGATTTTCAAATGGATGTGGTTGCCAAGGTCCTCATAAAAATAAATCAAACTCAGCAGTGATCCCTCCCCCTTTATTCTTTCATTTCCTGCTTCCTGTTATTTATAATTGTTGTCTTATCCTTGCACTTTTCTTCCACTTTCCTTTATTTTGTCAAAACAGGCTGTGCAATAGAAAAATCTGGTCACTTGCATGCCCAAGAGATTAATTGACCTTTGTGCCTTTAAGCGGTTCAAGTCAGAACAGCAAAGACAGAATCCGCAGCAGATTTATCTTTCTGGCAATAAGTAACAGGCTCTTCAAAGCCCCACCAGAGGTATCAATTGCCTTATTTCTGATCTAATCTAAGTTCTGGATGTTTATAAAGTGCTTCTAAAGATGGAATCCTGGAGTAAAAGTCACAACATCAAGAATTATCTGTTTTCAGTTGTGTTTAAGATTGGGAGCGCAGTTGGTTCTCGATTACAGGCCCAAGTCTGCTCCAGCGGAAGGCTTTGACAGCAGCAGCAGGGCTGTCCCTGCCCAGCAGTGCAAGCACGCAGCTGAACCAGCCTGCTTTCATGTCACTGCGGTCCCGAGCAAACAAGGAAATGAATTCCTGGCCATCTGCAAGGAGAGGAGCCCCAGCATTCTCGGAAAGTGCAACTTCTCTGTAGACCTTAGAGCGCAAAAGCTGAAGCAGAACGAGTGCAATCGGTCTTTCACTTTCCCTGGATTCTTGTTATTTAGGTCTGCAAATAAAACTGGGGATATTCGGTCTTCCTACAAGTAGAAACGGCTTCAAAAGACCGTGATAAACAGCAGTCGGGGAGATGCAGACGCTTCTTGTTGAATTTATGGGCCGGGGTCGTCTTTTGTCGCTTCCCCCCGTGTGGTGCAGCCCACCGCATTTATCATTCCAGGACAAATTTATCAGCGGGAGTGGCGAGGCTGGGCTGCCTGAGCTTCCCGACAGGAACCGGGCCAGGAGGGCACGGAAGATCAGCGGGACAAACCCGATGAGAAACAGGAGTGGGTCGGTGCCGGGGGCCCGATGAGTTACGGGGAGCACCACCGGGGGCAGAGCCGCGAGGGCAGCTCAGCCCCACTGACGGACTTTCACATTTGAACCCGCCCGGGCACCCGCGCTGCCCCGGCCCGCGGCCCGTTCCCGGCGGAAGCGGAAGGGCCGGGCAGCAGCCGGAGCAGCAGCGGGAGCCCAGCCTGAGTAGCGGCGGCAGGAGCGGCGCTCGGTAGCGGCGGTGAGTGCGGGAACGCTGCGGGGGCTGCGGGGCCACCTTATCAGCCCTCCGCCGCCCCCCGCGCCGGGCGGGCCCGCCCTGCGCCGCCCCGATAAGGGGCAGGTGGGCGCGCTCGGCTCCTCTGGGGGAGCCAAAATGTAGAGGGCTTAACCCCGATCTGTGCGGCAGGAGTTGCTCAGGGACAGCGACTTAAGTATTACTAATATGTATCTATTTGTATATCTATCCATATTAATGGTATGCATAGCTATGGCTGCTTTACTGCTGGAAGACTCGTTGCTTTAGGTTAAAAATGAGCTGTAGCTGTGGGTTGATGAACATTTGTATTACTGTGGTTGTTGATACAACATCCCAGTCTTACACTGTCCTTGAATTACTCTGAGCTTTAATCCCTTTATGTGAATGTGGCAGTAGGTTTGTGATGCTAAGCCATAACCATATCTTACTTGTCCAGAAGTAGTTTGCTTTTAGGTTTGTTTTTATTCTGCCCTTCTAAGAACAGGTTTTCAGCTTTTTAATGAACTGTATAATTATGGCTAGCATCGTAAGTGTGATTCTCCTAAATCCCCTATTTTCGGGAAGAATCTGAGTGGAAAGTATTAATGTATTTTTTTCCAGTGTCTGCTATTCTGATGTGTTCCATTCTTCCAGAGGCTGTAGTTTAAATCTCTCTGCAGTGTTAATGTCCAATGCTACATGAAGCAACATGGTTCTTAAAAATGTGCTGATGCTAGTTATTGATTAAATGTGTACCTTGTCTTCTGGGCTGAACTCTTACCTTTAAGATGATTGCATAACATGGTTGTGTAAAGTATACAGTTGGTATTTATTTGTATTATAGGCCAAAGTGAATAAAAAACCCTTATATTTTTAGTTGTGTTGCTTGATGCAAGAAGATGTCTTTATTTAGGCAACTAAATTCAGGTAAACAGTACCCACTTGCATGTAGCTGGCTACAAAATGGCTGTGCAAGCTCAGAGTAGAAGAAAATACTGTTGGCACCATCACCCTGTCTTCTCTGACCTCCTACCCCAATAAAACAGATTCCTGCAAGTTTGGTTCACCAGTGATTGTCTTCAGCACCAATAGCTGGACTTAGCTCAGTGCAAATCCAGGGCTATTAGTTCAGTGTAATGATTGTCTTGTACCAGGAGGTGCTGGCCCAGTATAATCCAGACAAGAAAGGCACTCAGACTCCAAGGTATCATCTCAAGTGTTTTTTAGAGCTAACCCTTTAAAGAAAGAACAGAGTGTTGATAATTGTGTGTCCCTTCAGGTGCTGGGAGCCCCAACTTGTGCAGCATTGAGCAGATCTCACACAGCACAGTGTGCAGACCCTGCCTATAGCAGGGATTACCCCCAGAATCTGCTGGGGATTCTTTTGCAAGAAAAGACCTTTATTCATCACTTCTGCTGTCACACAGAAAGGATGCTTGCAGAAGAACTTCCTACATTTTTAGATAAAGGCAAGGACACATAGGTAGCATAATTGCAGGTACAAAGTGTGAGCTACCTGCAGACTCCTATTACAGATTGCTGCTGAGCTTATCCTGCAGCTTGTGCATCCCACAGCACCAGGCTGGGCATGAAGTGCAGCACAAGATGAGCCTGGACCTACTCAGGTTAACTGTTACAGGGATCCCCAGCTCCTTGGTGTACAATGGCCTTCAGGTCAGGATCACTCCAACTGCTCTTGTATGTCTCTCTGAAAAACAAGTATGCTATCTGGTGTCTGCTGTTATATCTACAAAAGTATGGCTTGAGAAGCTAAGCAAGAAATTGAAAGCATAAACTCTGTGTCAACACATCCATCAGCTGGGACCTAATTATGTGAGCAAAATGACAATACTGAGAAGGCAGACCTATTTTGGGATAGTATGCTATGTGGATGCTGAACTCTGAAAACATCCCTTCCTCCTACATAGTCAGATGTAACTAACATTGCATTCTTCCACTCTTGGTTATTTTTGTTGCTTTTTGTTTTTAAACAAATAATATTCAAGATTTTGGATGCAGCAGAGCTTGGGAAGTAAGTGAAATCAGCTAGCCAGCTTTGGAGCTTATCCTGGAATGCAGTTTCTTTTTAACTATTTGAGCAGAAACAGATTGTGAGGATGTTGGGACATGCTGTAAGCCCTTCCTTTGTTGATGAAAAAACTTTGCCATTGTGAGCAGAAAAGGTAAATTGTTGCAACTTAAAGAATTGCTGCAAAACTTTGTTCTTTTTATTCTTTAGGCAAACATGCCTGCAACATGCGACTTTGTTACACTCCACACTGGGCAGAAGATGCCTCTCGTGGGACTGGGAACTTGGAAGAGTGACCGTGGCCAAGTAAGCAGGGAACAACAGGATATTATGCTCTCAACTAGTGTGTGTGTTTGTGCACTTTTTTTGGAGGTCCCAGATCTGAGGCCTGGATCCTTTGCTTGAGCTGTTCTAGTCTTGAGTCCATTGAAGTTGAATGCATGTATGTGTGTATTTGCCTGACTAAGGCCTAAGGCACAAAGACAGCAGTTCTTTCCAAGAAGGAACATCCCTTCAGACTTGTTAGCCCTGGCCTTGGGCAGTGGAGCTCTGGGACATAAACCCAGAAGAAAACCAGTGAATGGTGTTTCTATAACATGGTGCTGCACTCTTCCACTGGCAGGTCCTCAGGCTGCCGGTCTGACCAGACACCCCTCTGGCTTAGGCTGATGACTCGGCAGAAAGCATTATTTTGGGAGGCAAACTCAAGTTGTTCTTGTAATAAGTCCTGTTCCAGCAGCCAGCCAATGGTTAGCAGGAAAACAAAGAACTTGCTTGGGTCAGCCTGCTTTCAGAATAAGAAGGCTCATGTATCATTAGACATTCACTCTGCTTCTGAATGCAGGGAATTGGCAAACACCACACTTGGAAACTATTCTGTTGTTACTACGAACAGTCTGTGGGAATGTTTGTGTGCTCCATGGTGTGCCTGCTATTGTAATGTTTCTCCCTTTTGTCTGTCTTTTAGTATGTCTTTCATTTAGTTAACAGATACATTTTTTGGGGAAGAGATTGTATGTACTTCCTGGGAAAGGTAATGTCCACTGCTTGGTGGAATTCCTAACTGGCATTCATAGAATTGTGGAATCACAGAATGGGTTGGGTTGGAAGAGACCTTAAAGACCATCTAGTTCCAGTTCCCTGCTGTAGGCAGGGAGACCCTTCCGCTAGACCAGGCTGCTCAGAGGTCAATCCACCCTGGCCTCGAACATTTCCAGGGATGGGCATCCACAGCTTCTCTGGGTTATGCACATCACTGCATGCCTGTGCAGTAAATGGATGTCTCACTGCTACTCCTGTGTGAGCTTTATGATATTTTTTGGAGTATCTTGGATGACATTGTTCTCATGACTGAGAGGGAAAGTTAAAACTCTTCTCAAGACATGCAATTCTCTCATGCCAGCTAGAGGAAAAGGTGGGAAACAAGCTAAGAAAATTAAATCTGTTCAGAGCCATTTTACTGTTGGTTTTCCAGTCCAAACAACTGTCAGGACAGTGGATCTGTTGGGAATAGAAGTTGTACTAATGTGGAAGCTGAGTTGGTGTGTGAGCTCAGTCAACCTCTTAAATGAGGAAAAGGATGAATGTGCAGCTTTGCCACTTAAAACATCAAATGACAGCTGAATTAAGTTTGTTAACATGCACAAACTTAATGGATGAGTTTCTGTGCACTCAAAACAGTTAAATATGCTTTGTCTAAAGCAAATGTCTGGAACTAAACAAACAAAATATGAATGTGTTGTTTATTCTGTGAACTAATTGTTCTGAGAAATGTGTGGCCTTAGAAAGGAACCAGGACAGATCCTGTTTGTGCATAATTTAAACCTAATTCAGTTGGATTTTGCCATAATCAGCAGTGCTGCTGGCAGCTGAACCACACACAGGATCCAGTTATCTTCTCTGGGTTTCCTTGGAAGTCATTGGGAGTCACTTCTTTGGAATATCTGCTTTCTTCAAAGACTTCCTTGTAAAACGTATTGAAGGCAAAATCTAGGAAGTGCAGTGGAAAGGGCCAGGGTTACAGAAGTTGCTGCTATTCCTGTGGAATAAATGTATTTCTGCTTACCACTTTTGAAAATTCAGGGGCATAGCAGCAATTTGGCAGTGTCCAGATGATTTACCCTTAAAAAGACATGATGTAGGTCAGGGATAATAACTGCTATTATGAATTAAAGACTAGGGGCCAAAAACCCAGAGAAGCAGAAGAATTAGTATTGATTAAATTTGGTTTAGCTGTTTCTCAAGTAGAGGCTATTTATTAACAGCTCTTTTGTTCAAGGGCTGCATTAGAAGCAAGTGTGAAATGAATTGCTTTTAAATTATTTTGGGTAAATATTTTGCAGATTGTAATTCTTTCCCTTGCCAGGCTTGAGTAATTTCTTTATTACTGCTGTTACTGTTCCTGACTGTAAACAAGCCTTGACCTTGTAGACAGATCTTAGCAGTCCAGTACAAAGGTGTCATTGCAGTCCCAGTTTCCTAGATATTAAAGGGGGAAAATAATTGAATCTAATTCCATGTTGAAAGGATTTTATAGGATTGGCACCATCTAAAATAATAGGATGTTTTGTGTTTTACATGATCAAATGCTAGAAGAGAAATTTGTTTTGCATGTTTCCATAGGAATATAATGGAGGGCTGTTAAATGGAAGGGAGCACAGTACAGAAGTTTATGAACTGGCAGCATGAATCAGTTCAAAGAGAAATCCATTCAGACAGGAGTATGAAGAATATCAGTACAGTGGCTTTTTGATATTGCAGCTGGATTAGCTGTAATCCTTTAATGCTTTGTTCTCGTCTCTCAAGTGAGCCATGCTTTCAACCTGGAGGATTGATCCCCACCTGATGAGCAGCCTAACCTGAGTGGCCGAGGCTGGTTCTGTGGGACAGGGAGACACAGGGCTTGTATTTCTGTGTGAAACCTTGGAAAAGCTGAGGAGAAGTGCACCTCAGGAAACCAGTCAGACAGGGTGTCTTGTGACAGCTTCGGGGGAGAATGTTTAGTTCTTGAAGTTTGTTAGGCAATACAGAGAATCCTGGTGACAGGCACAAAAAAAATCACTCCTGTTAAGCAAGGGACTTATATTCAACATTTGAAAGATAAGAAGCAAACCCCTTTATTTTAGGGAACACTGCCTTTTAAATTGCCATTATTTGGCATGAGTTCCTTTTCAGCCAATTTTAGTGCAATATTTAGAAACTGTGATATAGCAACACTTGGGTTCTGGTCATAGTGCGTCTGAACATCACGTGCACTGATTATTTGGTTTTTTCCTACTTCCTCTCAGCAAAAGAACTGCTAAAATGTGTCAACTTTACAGGAAGCAGGGGTGACTGGTCAGAGCCTTTTCTTTCCCAGTAATATTGAACTGTTAAGAGTGGAAATCTCTTCATAATGGCTTGGGGCTGTGCACAAGAGGCTCCTGGGTCACTTGAACTGTGTGTTACCTGGAAGTATAAAGATGGCTTGTTAGTTTTTTAACCTTGTGAGAGGCAAATTCAAGAATTGGAAATGTAGCAATGGATATTGTAATTAATGGGGACTTACAGATTTTTTCTGAATCTGCCACTGATATTGTGTTCATCCATCTTCAAAAGAGGGTGGCAAGGCCAAGTCCCTTTCTGGGATGTTTAAATGGGATGTAGTTCCTTGGACTTTGCTATAAAGTGAAGGAGAATGAGGCTCCAACTGCAAAACCTGTGTGTTTTGGGGCCAGCCATTCGAAGAAAGGCATGAAACAGCTGATGAGACAGCAACAACAGTGAAGCAAGGTTTGGGAAAGGTGAGTTGTGATTAGGGGGGGAGCACCTGCAGTTATGTGGTCAGTAGAGATGTGAGAGGAGCTGTGCACTTTGCAAATGTGGGAAAAGCCCTCACAAAGGGCAAGTTGTGAATTTCATCTCTGGGAGGAATGGGATGTGGCACCAGGGCCATCTTTGTGAGTCACCTAAAAGACTTTGAGCAGAAAGATTTCAAAGCATTGGAATAGACTGCCTGTCACAAGAAGGGCTATGACAAATGTGTGTAGGAGTGGTCTGGATTTACTCTGCCCAGCTGAGGGCCTTGAGGGTAGCCTGGAAGATGTCTAAAGATCCATTCAGACCTACTTTTAGTAAGAACTAACTTTTTAGTTCTGTGGGGATGGATTGGTGAGTCACACTTGAGCTGTGTGACTCAATTTGCCTAATGCAAAGTAAACTCACTAATTGCTCCTTTCATAGCAGTATTGACAGGCTAAACTAAAGAGTATATGGAAAGTTTGAAGGATCCTTTGGTTATTTTTACTTCACAACAACAAATACCAGTAGGCATATGAATCTTCAGCTGCTTCTGTTGTGTTTTTGTTCTCTATCCCCTACCATGAAATGTATATACCTGTCTGAAGTTAATCTCAAAAATACAGAACTTCTTGTTAAAAAAGTACTTTTTTAAAACTTACATCTATATGTTATTATTTTTCCCCTCCAAAAATGCTTTTTTTTTTTTTTGCATGTTTCCTCTTGATTGATTGCCTTTTGTGTGGAACAGGAGCTCTCAGTTCACACTGAAATGTTTTAGTAGGCTGGAATAGCTTATCCAAATACAGATTATTTTTGTCAGCTCCAAACCTTGTTTAAATTATCAGTCCCAGTTCTTCAGCGTCAGAAATTTCTCAAAACATGCTAACAAAAAAATACAGCCTCTTGTTGATATCTTTGCAGAGACATGTTTGGAGTGCTTTATCTCTGTTTTTCTGTGAGTGGTGCCTACTTTCATTTATGGTAAACTTGGTCTGTTTGCTTAAAAAGAGTATTAATCTGGTACAGGAAATAGGGGGTTCCAGACACAGAACATTGCTGTTTTATTGTCCGTCTCCACAAATCTCACCTTTTTGGAGGATATATACCGAGTCTTAAAAGCCCTTACTATGTCTCAAGTGATTTCAGAATTACTCTGCCCTTGATTTTGTAGTGACCTGAGAAATGTCTTTCACCTTACCAGGTGAAACAAGGACTGTAAGTACCATCCTGCTAGAGAAAGGAAGGGTTCACTGCTGTAATAGAAGTGCTTTGTCATCCTGGCTAAGGGAAACTGTGCTACACTCCAGTTTTCGTCTCAAAATGCCAAAGAATGTAGTCAGAATATCCTGTGTCTGCTTTTACTGCACTTCTTGACAAGAAAAACAAATCAAATCCACCAGTAGGAGAGAGATCTCACATTTGATTCTCCATTGCCTTTTTGTAGAATCTGAAAGCAGGACTGTAATTGCCTTTGCTTGGTATTACTAATTTTGTCAGCTTTAAATTTGAAAATGGGTACTTTACGTTTTTAATCAAAGTAACAACATTTTCAAATTCACAGCTACTTTGATTAAGTTGTTGATCAAAGTAGCCCTCTAGCCGTTGTGGACATATTTTTTAATCTCGTGACAAGAGAGGTGTGATCTCACTTAACATTTACGGCCCTATTGCATCAAGCCTTATACACAGAGTAATTTACAGTCTCCCACAGTCTTGAGAGATAAGTAAGTGAGGTGTGGTGTATAGAAATCCCTGTACAGATGGGATGTATTATTCTTTCTGTAGTACTTCAGAAGGACAGATGTAAGAGAGAATGTGTACTAACTGTCCACTGGAAGTTAAATGAAATAGATTTTACTAAATGGTCATCAGCCTAATGGCAGATGATGATTACACTGCCAACTGTAGTAATTCTTCATTCTTGCCCAATCATTTATAGAAAGTCTTTTGAAAAAAGCTCCTTAGGAGTCGTCACAAAGATGCCATTCTGTGTTTCCTTCTGGTTTCTAGACTTGCTTCATATCTGAGGCCCACATGTGAAGACCACATTTGGTGCTTGTGCTGCATTAGAGCTTTCAAAAGCAGATACATATTGGAAGTAAAGTGCCTTGGTTTCCAAAAACCATTCTGGCTTTTGCGTGACAATATGGAGCAAGAGTTGTGTTGCTGTTGGCAGCACCTTCATGGTCAGCAGTGTTGAAAGCACAATGTAAAGTTGTGAGCATCATCAGGGGTATCCCAGCAGCATGACTTTCGCTGTTGTGCAATTATGAGACAAGAACGAAAAATGTTCCATAAAATAGCATTGTCTTGGTAATTAAGTGTGAGTGGCTGAACCAAACACGAACTGTGGTGATTCTGGAGTTAGAAGCCAGGCTCTTTCTTTACTGGGCAAGAGGAAATATATTCCAGGTTTGACTGATGTTGATTTGTCACTTTGGTCAGAAAATATCTTCCTATGCCATGACTTTTCATATGAAAACTTCTTCTTATAGGTCATTTTATATTTAAGAAACGTGTAACAACTGTAGTGGCGAGTAGGGATTTGTTCTACCTGGTGCATTCTTGCATGCTGGCCCCGTGTGCACAATCTATTTTCTTGTTCCTCTTGGAGTGTCAGCCAGCAGTTTGCTCTTCCCCACTAAGGACCATGCCAGAGACTCCAGATCCTCATGTTTGAATCTCATGACCTTATACAGGTCTGTGGTTTTTCGGGGGGTGTTCCTCACCAAGTCAAGTAGCGTTTTTAACTTTTCCCCAGTGGCACATCCCTTTTCAGTGGCTGCATGGGCAGTGTGTTTGTGGTTGCAGGTGAAGGAGGCAGTGAAGCACGCCCTCAGCGTGGGCTATCGCCACATCGACTGCGCGGCCGCCTACAGCAACGAAGCCGAGATCGGGGAGGCCTTCCAGGAGTGCGTTGGGCCCAGCAAGGTAAAAGCTCAGGAACTGCCCTGCTCACTGTGTGCTGTGCCAAAACTTACAGCTGTCCCCTGTGAAGGTAACAGTTGTGGCTTTTGCTGCTGGGCTACCCCAGCTGTTCGCTGTTTATCAGGAGAAGGCATGACAGAGGCCTTTCTCTCCTCTTAGAACCCTCCTGGCTGTCACTGGGACAAAACGTTGTCAGGGATGTTTGGATGCAAGCTACAGAAAATGCCGGTGGTGGTGGTTTTTTCCTTTTCCTGCTCCTTTTCCCCTAACAAAGTATCCCAATTTGGATACTTTGGGGTTCCCAGAATCAGTAGTTATAATGTAAAATATTTGTCATGATTTAGATGAAAAGTTACCCTGACCTTCCTATCTAGCATGCAATGGGTATAGCCATAGCAAATTTAGTTTTTCGGTTATTGATAAAATATCAACTGTAGGTTTTTTGTTATTGCTAAAATATGAGTGAGTAAATGTAGTGAATTTTAATTTTTTTTTAAACAGTGCACGTGGAAGGCTCATAAATGTGACTCCAGAGTCTGCACCTGAGAGTTTGAGGCCTAAGTATAATGTAATGTGGCAGGCATTCCTATGTATGAGCTGAGGTAGAATCTTAAATTTATTCCCTGAAGGGGCCAAAAGGATAATCTGTACAGCCTCACAGCCCATGGAAAGGAAGTTTTCATGTTCTTGCTTTCCTGCTGTGCTTGCCTTGGCTTTAGGGCAATCTCTTTGTTATGTGCTTAAGAGAGGCTGTTTTCAGCTTGCCCCAGGGATTCCTCCCTATTAGGTGTGGTAACAATGGGAAGCATTTTGTTCAGTTCATATTAGCTAGCTAACTTAGAACTAGAATTTGAATCAAAATTATTTTAAAAAGAATTTTTAAATATCTTCCTTTTAAACACAACATCCTTGTGTGAAACACAGAAATAATTGAATGGTTGGAAGAGAGAAACTAAGGAATTAATCATTCCAAATTCTTCAAAATAGATTTGAGTGAAGTTTTGTCAGACGAGACAGTGAGAAGCATCCTTTCTGATGGAATTCTGAGCTTCATTTTGCCCAGTGTGATCTCCCTTTTGTATTTTATACTTTCTAGATAACAAGTTCTCCATTTTTTATTTCTGGTTCTTACCATTCCAACACAGGGTGCAGAGCTCCCAGTTCTTAGTGTGTTCCTTCCACAGCCAGAAGCTCCAATGCAGAGGTTTGGGGAATCTCCTGATTATTTTCCCACGCTTTTTTTTACAAGAAGCAATCTTGGTTTATAGCATGTGATGAGTGAAGTAAGTTAGCTGGTTGAGCCTGGCCTTCCACAGCCAGAAGCTCCAATGCAGAGGTTTGGGGAATCTCCTGATTATTTTCCCACGCTTTTTTTACAAGAAGCAATCTTGGTCTATAGCATGTGATGGGTGAAGTAAGTTAGCTGGTTGAGCCTGAAATATGTGAATTGTTAAATGGAAATTTGAAAATTTACATATGAATAAGCTGAGTAATCTTTCTTTTGGCCACATCACACTTAGTAATGGCTTTAACCCTTGAATTGGAAGGTTTGGAAGAGTATGTGGAAAGGAATTTTATTATTTTTCAAAACTTCTAATTGCTAAAGTATTTTATATACTTTAAAACTTGCCACTGTGTGTATTTCTCTGGCACTTCTCCTTCCAATATATTTTTGAAAGATCTAATTTGTAGGTTCCATTAAAAAAAACATAACAAACCACAAAACTTCATTTGTTCTCTTTGTTTTAAAACTAATTGGGGAGTTGTTGCAATTCTCTTTCTGAACTTGCTCCAGTATATTATGCTCTCCTTCCTTTTTTGAAGGTTATTAAAAGGGAGGACCTGTTTGTAACATCAAAGCTCTGGAATACCAAGCACCACCCTGAAGATGTAGAGCCAGCACTGAGGAAAACACTTGGAGATATGAAACTGGATTACCTGGACCTGTACCTCATGCACTGGCCTCATGCCTTTGAGTAAGTTCTACATGCAAAGGGCACAGAATGCAGAAACACCAGTTTTACATAAGTGGCTCATGTATATCCTGAGGATGTTCTTTCTGAGCTGTGAGTTTCTTCCTGTTTATGCTGCCTGCAAGGTGTTTTGTGGTATTTAAAGGTTAAAACAGTCTAGTGTCTTCATCTAGGCACTGGGGAAGTGTAGCAGTTATTCTTGGTTCTGCCATTGGCCTACCTGGTAACCTTGAAAAAATACCAGAACTGCTTTTGCCTTAGTTGTACTGATCTGTGAAATGGAAATTAAGTGCTTCATAAAGACAACACTTCTCACTATTGGTTATTAGCTGTACTGGAGTGGACAAACACATGCAGTATCATGGTGGTATCTGTATGAGGTGGAAGGGAATTGACTTCTTATGACACAAATTGCAGTAATTCCATGATTTGAGGAAGTAAGAGATAAGAAAGCTTTCCAGCTAAGTGTTAAACATACTTATCCTACAGTGGAGTGGACAAACACATGCAGTATCATGGTGGTATCTGTATGAGGTGGAAGGGAATTGACTTCTTATGACACAAATTGCAGTAATTCCATGATTTGAGGAAGTAAGAGATAAAGCTTTCCAGCTAAGTGTTAAATGTACTTATCCTACAATCCCATGATAAGCACAGTTCCATACTCTATTTCCTTGTAGATGTGGAAGTAGTTGTTTCCCCACCCAACTACAATCAACAAAAAGGCAGGAGGAATAAATCTCCTTGCCAAAGGTTTGCATGGAATCTTCACTCAAGCCCTTTCAGTTTAAGGGGCCTCCGCTCTGCAAATCTGAGAATGCTTTTTCTCCTTCTTGTCATATGAACTGAATTTTACAAATGTCATACACTAATGATAAGATGAAAGATGCTCAAAGTATAAATATATTCCTCAGCATAACAGAATGAGGAAGTGTTTTTAACTAGAACTGGTCTGGAGGAAGAGCTGGTAAAAATTCCCTCTGTTGTGCAACAGGTTTGCTTTTCATTTGCTTGAAAAAAACCAACCCATCAAACATGGCTTTGATAATAACACATAAGACAAATAATAATGTACGTTTGGATGTTTAGATAGTACTACTATTTAAATTTATATTGTGCCACTGTTGACAAAACTGACCGTCTAATAAAGCAGTTTAATTTCTTTTCTCATTGGGAATGGCACACTCTGCAGTTTTCTGTTATTTCTACGTAACTGTTTTAATGCATGGTTATTTATAATGTCTGTTGCATTGGGAGGCTAAGCTAAGGAATGTTATTTACAGAAAAATTAAAACAGACTTCCAGATGAAAATCACAGTGCCTTTAGGTTTTGAAAATTACTCTCACTTAATACAGTACTCTTGACATGTGAAGCTGCTCTTCTGACTTGGGAGCTCATAAGGCTTTCAGAGTTACTTTTGGTTCTAGATTTACCAGTGACATGAAGAACCATCTCCCCTTGTCCCCAGGTACTGCCATTTCTCACACCATTCACTGCTTAGCTAGAGCACTTCAAGAGTCTCATTGCTGAGCTAGCAGAGTCATGTGGTGATTATGGAGCAGGGCTCTGCCAGGGGGATTGCTGGTACCTCTCCAAGCATGGACTGCACAGAGACCAGGCATAGGTTCTCACCCCTTTGGCTGTAGGGGTGTCACCGGGCACAGCTGGGTACTTTGTGTCTGTTTTGGGTGGGCTTTTTTGGTTTTGGTGGTGGTTTTTTTGTTTGTTTGTGGGGAGGTGTTTTTTTTGGTTTTTTTTTTTTTTTTTAATGTGTTGGTATGACTAATTGGAAGAAAACACAACCAACCTGTAAAGAACATGTACATGTTAGGACTTCTGGGAGAATCTGTGCTTGTATTGAGTAGTGACACAGCTACAGAATCCAGAGGGAGTGGGAAGGCCAGTATTCTTTGAATACAGTTTCTCTTAGATAGCTCTTAAACCCAGATCCCTTTGGTAGCAACTCCAAGCTGCCCTCTGAGTTGCTGCTCCCTAAATCAGCTGTTTCATGGGGATCAAAGTGTGCAAAGACCTGCTGCTGTGTCTACAGTGGTTTATCAGTTCTGTGTAGTCACTGCTGTAGGTGAGTACTTCAAAGTGCCGTGTAACAACTTTATGTAGGAACAACTGTCTTGTGTAATAACTGCTTATAGGCTAAGTCATGTAATGGAATTGAACAGATTCATTCAGTTTGTCCTTCAGACTATGTAGAAACTTTTAAGACTGCTGTGAGGAAGGTTTCTTTGAGTGAAGAACTAAAATAATTTGGTGCATGTACTTACACTTGACCTTTGATGCTGTAGACGAGGGGACAACCTCTTCCCAAAGAATCCTGATAACACGATGCGTTACGACTACATTGATTATAAGGAAACCTGGAAGGCTATGGAGAAACTGGTGGAAAAGGGTCTTGTGAAAGCCATTGGGCTGTCAAACTTCAACAGTCATCAGATCGATGATGTACTAAGTGTGGCTACTGTGAAGCCAGCTGTGCTCCAGGTAAGGTGGATAAAGGAGACAAATACCTTTCCTGTTTGTCCTTAAGAGTGAAGAATTTGCAAACCAATGTCATGTGTTTAGCACAAGAGGTGCAGCTTCTTATTTGCAGGGAAGAATATAGCCAGCTCTGCAGGAGCAGGCACACAGAGGCTGTCTTTCCAGGCAGATTGGAAAGGAGGCCTACATCTGTGTTCTGTGGGTAATTATACCTGCTTAGAACAGGTCTGTGGAAGAGTTCATCTTCCATGTGAGAAACAACTTAGTCTGTAAAAAGGAAAGATTGTGAGGGAGTAACTTGAATCCCTACTGCATAGAAATTGCTTGCTTATTGGATGATCTGTTTAGTACCAAGGGAAAGTCCAGCACTGAGCTCAGGTGATCTGTTCTTTGTTTCCCATAAGCTTAGCCTACCAGACACTTCTTTCTCCTGATAGTGACTTGAGTTACTAAGGTTACCTTAAACCTTATCCTCATAAGGTTTTCTGGAATCTGGAATGAACTCCTGTGATATGTTTTGTTCTTTTGTGCTTGACTTCCTGTTTGTTTCATTGTATGTTGATATCTGTTCTGTAGCCACTCATTGTGGGTCATTTTAATAGGTGGAATGCCATCCTTACCTAGCTCAGAACGAGCTGATTGCTCACTGCCAGAAACGAGGACTGGTGGTCACTGCCTACAGTCCCCTTGGCTCACCTGATCGCATGTGGAAACACCCGGATGAGCCTGTGCTGCTAGAGGAACCTGGGGTCAAAAAAATTGCTGAAAAATACAGCAAGTCACCTGCACAGATCATCCTCAGGTACAGAATAATTGTGAGAGAGGTGGTGTTTGGGACCCAGCCTTCAGTCAAGCAAAACATACAAGCTAGAAGGAATCCACTTAGTGTGTCAGGGAGGGGTTAAAATCACAGGGAGTGTCAAAAGCAAATCCCACTTGGTGCTTGTTTTACAAACTGGTAGAGTTGGTCCTGCCTTTGGGCAGGTAGGCTAGATCAGAAGGGTCCATTCAGGGCCTGGATCCACGTCTGAGATAGTTCACGTGGACTGTTGCCATGTCTGGGACAGTACCTTTTCTGCTGGGAAATAGCAGTAGGACAATTAAGGCAGCCTATCACATCTGAATGCTGCCCACTGAATTTGCATCTGGCTGTTTCCCTGAAACCTCTAGTGCTTGCTGCTGCATTCAGCTGGCTCCCAGGAAGAGAGGGGCTGAGGTAAATACTTGCCTCCTTTGCACTGAAGAACTATTTGCTGTTTAGTTTTTGTCTAACCAGGTACTGGATATTAGAAAACAAGGTGACTGAGTGATACCCAGAATGTGATCAGCACCTTCTAAACTAAAATTGGATTTCTATCCTCATTTTTCTTGACTGGCTTTGTATCCATCAGTGTCCCTACCACAGTCTTGGGCAGTAGCATGTTACCCAGAGAGCTGAATGTGTTCAAGATTTTGTGCTCAAGCCACTAGACAGGCACTTCAGGGATCTGGGTTTTCATTTAGTTTTTGAGTGGTTGTCAGGTTAGAACTTGCTTGAAATGCCTAAATATGTTTTTCTGACCATTTCTTGGATTTTTAGCATAAAACAGTTGAAACCTGGGTGCTTGTTCCAAGGCATAAACATTTTCCCCTCTCTGATTCAGTTGTTACTGTTTTGCTTGAGCTTGGATATACCAGGTCCTAATACAACACAGGGCTGTGTCACTCCTGTGGAGATTTTTATTTCACAGAAATGGCATCTCTGCTGCCAGAGATTATTGCTCAACCAAAATAAATACTTATTGTCCATGGACTGCATGCACAAAGTCTCTCACCTCCTCTTGCAGATGGCAAGTGCAGCGTAAAGTGGTTGTCATTCCCAAGAGTGTCACTCCTGCTCGCATTCAGCAGAATCTGCAGGTAAGCTGAAATGGAGGAGAGGAGTTTCAGAAATGCACTTTTCATGTGAGTAATTGCTATACTGTCCTACAACTTGCAGAGCAGCAAGCTGAGGCACTTGGTTCATACTTGTTCATCAATGTATGCACACGCTGGGGAGGGAGGGTAAAGATGTTTTTTGAAAACAAAGGATGTGTTTTCAGCAACTCGGTGTGTGCATGCAATGTGCACATGCACAGTCTTGTTACCAGAAGGTAAAGAATGTACTTTGTAGGGGTCTAAATGAAAAATCTGTACTTAAATTTTTTTGAGACACAAATTCATTGAAATAGGGAGTCTTCTAACTATGCTCAGTGACTCTTATTTATGAGTAATAGCTGCTCTATCCTGCAAGTCAGGGCTGGTGACTACTTCTCCAGCAAACTGCCATTCTGGTGGTGCTGAAGGAGTAAGTGTGGTTCACTTCTGCTCTGAAGTAGAGACTTCCGAAATGATTTGAAAACCCTGACTTTAAATAATCTTAAGGGATGTTTCTGAATCACCTCCTTGGATCTTTTTTCATAAAGATTGGCTGGTTACATACTTGTTTTTAAGTAAGGAGTTGTTCATGTAACTGTTACTCCCATTAATCCAAAATCTGTCACGTAGTGTGCTACTAGAAATCTCAACAAATTCCAATAAATTCCGCAGTTGCTCGAGGTTTAGATCTACATGGAAACAGAATATTTATTGAATAGCAGCACTTGCTGTGAGAAACAGTCCCACCAGTGTAAGCTTAGAGCTGGAAGGTGTGTGAACAGCTCAGATATTAACGCTTTGCTTTGGTGTTATGAGTTTCATTGCAATTTCATATTTATTAGCAGAAAACAAACTGATGGCAACCTATGGTTATTGGGTAAAGCCTCTGGCTTTTGTTCTCAGGTGTTTGACTTCAGCCTCACAGAAGAGGAGATGAGCCACATTGGAAGCCTGAACAAAAACTGGCGTTACATTGTGCCAATGATTACGGTAAATTTCTTGTTTTTCTAATGCTTTTCATCATGTGCGTATGGTCGCCACTTGGGATTTTTACAGTTTTGTTTCTTTCGTTCCCATCAGAACTATTTACTCATAAGAACACTGCATCTCCTTAGGGTATCTAAGATGAAGGAATTTTTCAAAAGCCGGGTACAGAAAAGGCAGCTTCTTGAGAACTTTTGTCCTCTTGTTTTGGACATTGGCTCTCTCTTGAGTTCTCATTACTGACTCCCATGGGTCTTTGAGTCCCATCTTCAAATCCCACCAAACTCCTGCTGATTTGTTCTTCCCAAGTCGAAGCAGGCTAAGCTCCATGGCATTCCTCTAGACATGCTCCTGTGCCAGCTGTCACTGTCTACTTTGTACCATAAACCTTTAAGATCAGACTCGGGGTGCTGCTGCTTCTCCACATCCACGGTGGAAGTCACATCAGGGAATTCGTCCCCTCCCCTCTGCTGCATGTCCCCCTTTCAGAATCTGTTGTAATGACCTTTCTCCAATGTAAGGAGTTTGGATTAGGCTGTTCTATTTTTCTTCCCAAATCCATTAGCTGCAGCATCTTTTAGCATCAGCAGTTTACTGTGTCACACGAACCTTTACCTCATGTGCTAGCAGATGCCAGTTTGTTTTTAGAGAAGCCTCTCTGCCTTGTAAGCATTGAAATCCTCTTGGTCTTTCCTTTATTACATTAAAGGACCTAAACTCGTTCCTTTTCCCTCACTGCAAAATTCCAAGTCAGTGCCTTATCTCCTGACTTTATAACTTGACTTGTTTGTCATTTCTTCTTGTCCTGCTTCTGACTTTATAACAGAAAGCTGTTGCCATTCTCTGGTGCATTACTGGCCAGAATATGGCAACTGTAACAAGTTGCTGTGGTTGTGCTATAATGAATCTGAAGTGATTTATCCCTTCTCTGCCATACAGTACACTGTACAGATACAGGAAATCTCAGCAAATTTGGGAGCTGTCAGGCATAGCCTGGCCTCTTCAGTGCTTTGCCTGTAAATTATCCTTCAGTAGTGGCTGCTGACTATAGGAATTCCTTGGTGAAAGCTTTTCTCCAGGATTTATCATTGTGGGTTTTTCAAATACTTGAGAGTGTATCAGTGACCAGCCCACGTTAGAGAAGAAGCTGTGAATGTGTGGGAATGATTGTCTCGTATCAAGGGTAGATACTTGTTACAGCCTTCACTGTTTGTCATGCTGACATGAGCCTCAAGGCCATCCTTTTAACTGTACGTGTGCATAAATATAAACCCTCACATCCCTGCAGCCAAACTTCTCTCCATGTTTATGGATCAGGAGTCTGGATACCAAACAAGCAGCTTAGCTGCTGATCCGTGTGAATGGGGTAGTGACAAGCACACCTACTGCTGACAATATGTTTCTTTCAAGTGTTTTGCTACTCATGCTGCAAACAAAGTTGTTTTTGTTAATGAAACTGCAAAATACATTTAAATGTAGCCTAGCTTGAATGAGCCAGGGATAATTCATGTGCTTTTGTTACCTGGGAGACCTGATCAGATCACAGGGGTTCACAAAGAGAGATGAAATACAGTTCAAAGTGGCAGCCCATCCAGCTTGAGAAAGGGTGAATGTGGTGATGCAGCTGGGCTTCAAAGATATTGCCATATTGTCAGATAATGAGACAGGAAGAAGCAAGATGAGTGGAGTTAAATCACAGATCTGTAGCTCTAAGATCTCTGATGGAACCTTTTGTCTCCTGCCCATCCCTTCTGGGCTTATTGGAAAGAATTTCCATCAACTGTGAATTAAAATTCCTGTCTAACCTTTCATGCCTATCTGTGCTATGAATCTGACTTAGTGTCTGGATTTCAAAGTGTGATGTGACAGTGACAAGAGAGCTCCTATTGTAATTGATGAGACAGTTCTTCTTGGCTTTACCTCATTGATCTATAGCCACAAGTTCTTAAAATTGTGCCACTCTCTTCCTTGTTGTGTATGTTTAAAGTCTGAGGGGAGGATATTACATTGCATTATTTGTTCATTATCTGGATAGAGTTTGGAAGGTACCTTGCACCAATCTGAAATCCAAACTTTTGGAAACATATAATTGGCCAAAGAATATACTTGAGTGGAACTTAAATGACTGGCAGGCCAGGAGAGGAGGAATATAGTGAGCACATCATGATCTCTTTTTAAAAGTTAGCTACTGTTGACCTGCAGGTGTGTTCATTGCTGATTTTATCCCCCCCGCCCTTCTCTCACATTCCTGGAGTAGACTGGAATCAGTGATGTGAAACATTGCTTCTGGCAGCTGCTGGCTTGGCCTGCTGTGAACAAGAATTCTTGCCTGTTCTGTGTGGACAAATATGCAGGGGGACAGAACTGGGGGGGAGAGTGCAGAATATGAGTTCTAGGAACGTGAGGAAGCTGTTGGCTTTCAAGAGAACTTGAGGAAACCTGAAGTTACCGTGACACTTCTGTCCTGTTGTAAGGATTGCCTTCAGCTGACAGCCTCATGGCAGGTCTATTTTAATCGGAGCGTTAGTCAAATGTTACACCGTAACATCTTCGTTCTGTGCTCTGCAGTGCCCCCAGGTGACTCCGTTCATTTAAACAGCTCATTGCAGCAAGTCCAGTGGCTTTGAAATGCAGGTTTTATATTCAAAGCTAATGGGACACTTGCTAGTGGATACTTGGTTTGGAAGTCCCTGTGATTTCCTCTGTGCCCATAACATTTTGAGTGATCACTACCATCACGTTTTTATGTATAAAAATCAAGGATTTCTCTAATACAACTTTTATTGAGGCATTAGTTGTTTATCTAAGTTTTGGCTGGATGGTGCTTGCCTGACGTGGGGAGCTGTGTGCTCTGGGCCAGTGCTGCACCCAGACTTCCCCAGAAGTTACAGATGAGGTTTTATTTACCTCAGCCACACGGAAGTTGGGGTGTTGCAATGGACTTGGTGCAACAGAAATGCAAGTTGTCCACCTGAATGCTTCGAGGTGGGATGTAGGAACTGAGACTTCTGCATGGCCATGTCTGGTTTTGGGCCAGCCCAAGCCTCTGGTTATCTGTGAATATTGGTTTCAGTGCTCCCATTTTACTGCTGGAGAAGTTGTCCTTCTGTGGAAATGTTCCTAAAAGGAGTTCAGTGACACTATCAGTGAATGCCTCAGTATGTGACCCTGAACAAGCCTCTCAATGTGTTTCATCTTATCCATCTCTAAAATTGGCAGCCCAGCAGTTCTCTAGGATGGAAACATGGACAAAGGCTCCAACTCCAATAAAGTGTTTGAAGTGTGTGTGTTACAGCACTTACTCAGTAACACCTACAAGGCTTTTAACTATCCTTAGTCTAATTCTTCAAGTCTCTGCAGCTTGAGAGACTCTTGCTCTAGGCTACAGAAGTCTGTCTTTTCTTTCAAGAAAGGCTAAGAGGACCTGGGAGTAGAGGGAAGAGCTCTTGTTTAAGCTCAAAAATGTACTCCGAGATTTTTGGGATACAAAGTTTTAGAAATCTAAATCATGGAGAACTTGAAACTGCGAGTAAGAGTGGAGTTTATCTTTCTCACTTGAGTCTGTCTTGTTTATTTCACAGGTGGATGGAAAGCTAGTAGCCAGAGATGCTGGACACCCCCACTACCCCTTCAACGACCCCTATTAAGTGCTGGAAAATCAGGCGTTGCAGTAATGATCCAGTAATTGCCTTCACACAAAGTAATTGTTGCCACGGTTTTTTGACAGTTGCCACTGCCCAAATTAAAACCTTCCTTCCCAAGTGGGTTTTCCTACAATGTACTACTTCTAATCGACCTCCTGCCTGGAGATCCTGCAGCTTCTGTTTCAGAGTTTGTGGATTTATCACAATGACTACAAGCTGGCTCCTGGAGGCATCAGATCTTTTGGAGATTAGATAAAGAGTGAGGAGTCTAAGTCAAGTTCCAGAGGCATCGTTATCAGACAAGGGCATTACTTTGAGTAATTACTTTGGTTACTACTGTGAAACGGTTTTGAAAACTTCAGTTGCTACCATGATGAGGGGAAAAAAAGAAGGGTGAAGGTGTGAAAGTTTTTTAAGGCTAAAGAATTGCTCAGCCATCAACTTTGATCTCTTTTATTAATAATTTTTTACACAGGGAGTAAAGTGAAAGGTGCTACAATTGCACTATGTCCCTAAATCATTCATTAAAACCCAAGTAATCAGCCATGCCCAGTGCTTTTATCCACTTCATCGTACTTTTGGGACCTGGAGTTGTCAATTTTCTCTTTCTTTTAATTTGCCTGTAGATTTGAGCAGAATAAAAGCAGACCCTGGAGCAGGCCTTCAGGGCAATTCTCTCTCTTGCTTGTCACAGTGCTGGGTTTCAGCTCTCACAGCACCTCTGATCCTATCACAAAAGCCACAAGAACTTTGCAGCAAGTCTTGCAGAAAAACATCCTGCTTTTCCCGTGAAGTGTTTCTTTACCAAAGATGTCCATTTTGAGTTCTGGAAGGTCACAAAATTAGTTCCTAATTGTACAGTAAGACCAAAGACCTTTCAGAGCTCCCAATGTTTTAATGTTGCATTTTTGGTTGCTGCCAAAAAAATGTCTTTGGCTGATGCTTAGGAGAGCTGCTCCTGTCTCCTGCTGTACCACTGACCTGCTGGTAACTCGGGGTGAGTCCTTGGCCTTTTGTGCCTGTTTTCCTACTTGCCATGTCTGTGTTCCCCTGGCAGGGACTGATTTGCTGAGTGCTGATGCACCCGTGGACTGGAACTCCAGCTCTAAGCACAGTTTTCTTTTGTGTCAGTCTCCTAATGAACTGGCTGAGCACAAAGGGCATGAGGTGTTGGTACCTACCTGTGCTCTGGTGGTGACACTTCTGTGGCCTTAGAAACATCAACACTTTATTTTGGTCCTCTCTACCTGTTAAATAGGATTAATTTTTTTCCCCACAGTAATTAGAATTGCTATTGGATTGCTATTTTCCCGTAGCAAGCAATTAGAAAAAGTCTTGTATATCAAATAGTTCAAAAGTTAAGGAATTAGACACTTTAATTTGGATACCCTCGTTTGCAATAGGCCTATAGCAGATCTATGTATTCATTTGGAGTGTAAAGCCTTCTCAGGTAGTTCCTGCCCTGGGCCTCACAGTGTGCAGCTGAACTGCAGAAAAAAGTGACACCAATTTATCACTCCTTGTAAACCGCAGGCAAAATTTCAGGAACTTCTGTTGCTTCGTAAAATGTTTCCTAATTCCTCATGAATTTGCCTCAGTGGAGGAAGCCAATCCTCCTTTAGGATTCTTTACTAGACTGGACATTTTCTTCTAAGGAAAATTAAATTCTTGTTGGTATATTTAATTGTTCTACTCAAATATGGTGACTTTGAATACGGTTCTTGTTGCAATCCTGCCAAGGACAGTGGCTTTTCTTGCTTGTTTCACTTGCATGTTTGCTTGTTTAAATAAATTCTGTACTCGTTGTATGACTGAGAATTTTTCCCTCCCTCTTATCAAGGCCCCAACTAACTTACTCTAGTTATTTCTCTGAGCAAGAGTACCTAACTGGGCTGAGAGAATTCCCAAGAAAAGCACATTAATGTTGTAGCTCTTTGAACCCCACACTTCCCAGCTCTGTTCCTGCAGGGAGGGACATAGCGGGGCTGAAGCTGGAGAACTTTTACCTTGAAATAGCAGAGCCTGGCGGTCTCGGTGCTGGGCTGTGCTGTGACAGGGCAGCGGCCATGTCAGCCCTGCCTGCTCGTGTGTTCGTGTCGCAGGGGAGAGTCGAGCATCTGCGTTAGCTGGGCAGACACCCGAGTTTGTTCAGAGCCCGGGCCGGGGTGCCAGAGCCTCCCGGGCCGCCAGGCTGCGGCTGAGGGGGTACCACAGCCGGGCTGAGGGAGCGGGACTGCACCTCCCGGCATGCCCCGCGGGACCCCGCCTCACTCTCCGGCACTACACTTCCCAGCGCGCCCTGCGCGGCGGCGCCCCCGGCGTCCCGCGGCGGGGCGGGCGCGCAGCGTGCCGGGAGCGGTAGTCCCCCTGCGGCGCGCGCGCGCCGCCAGGCGGGCCGGGGCGTGTCCTCGGGGGTATATAGCCAGCCGGAGGGGCAGGGGGCTGCACTCTGCCGCCGCCGCCCCTCTCTCCAGCAGCTTCTATGCAATCCTCGGCCATCGCCGCTCCCCCCTGCGTTGAGCCCGCGCCGGCCTCCCAGACTAGGTAGGGCCGCGCGGGCTGGGCCCGGTTACGGTGTGTGCGTGTCGGGGACGGGGGGCATCAGGGGAGGGGGGGGGCGCCTTCGGGCCGTAGGGTACCGGAGGGCATGGGGGGTAAGCGGGCTGGTGGGCCGGATTTCCTTGGGGGGAGGGCCGGGGGTGCTGGTCGGGCTGGCGAAGCTGCACCCCCTCCTCCCCCCCTTTCCTCCTCGCCGGCGGTGGTACCTGCGTCCCCCGTCCCCCCCTCGCCGTTTGTGGTACCTGCCTCCGCCGTCCCCCCCCGCCGGCCGTGCTACGGTGGTACGTGCCGCCGCCCCGCTCCTCCGGCGCCAGCTGGGCGCGCGCGGCTCGCGCGGAGCCCCCACGTGACCGCTGCGCGGCCGCCGCCATCTTTGTTGGGGGCAGCCGACGCCGCGGGGCGGGCTGGAGGGGGCGCGCGTCACGTGACCGGCGGCCCGTGAGGAGCCGCCGCCGGGGTTTGGCGCCAAGGGCGGGGGGCGGGGCCGGCGGAAGGCGGGAAAGGCCCCATTGTCTGCCCGGGAGCGGCCGGGCCGGGGCTGGCACAGCCCCTCACGGCCTCCCTCCGGACCGTACACCACACTGAGGGGCCCGAGCCCCTAGCGGGGGCTGGGCACCGCTGATCCGGGGCTCCTGGTGCTGCTTTCGCACCCCCCGAGAGCTCAGTTGGTGCCGTGAAGTGGTTGGCCGGTTCTAAACGTGAATAAAAAAACATTCGATTTTCTGTTTGCAGGATGGAAGAGGAACTGGCAGCTCCTTCCACATCCACAGACAAGACAGACAGGTGAGATGGGAGTGGGGATTGTCAGTAGCAAATAACACAGAATCCCGGAGTTACTGTGTGAGAGGCAGAGGTCACCCTTCAGATCCCTTCTTAGACTTGGAGCTTAGCTCCCATGTCTGATGTAGGTGCTGAAAACCTGTGCTCACCAGTGCTTTGCACAAATCCAGTGCATCAAGGCCTTTTCAGGGATTGATACATGCAAAAATGTATCAAGCAGTTCTTGAAGTTTTTGGGTTTTTAATTAGTGCTGGAGAGGTACAAGTGTGCAGCTGGCATGTGATACATTGTGTTCCTCTGTGGGTGGCTCCTCTTGTCCCAGTCGGAGATGCTGGGCTGGACCTTCTGGAAATGAAGCTGTGCAAGATGCACTGAACTGAAACTGACACTTGCATCTGTCATTCTTGTCAGATGCACCATGCTGTGCTATGAAAAATTTTAACTTGAGTTTAATCTTCTTTTTCTTGATCTAGCATTGGAGTCTGGAGCACTGGTGCTCCATGGTGGGTTGGTGTGCAACTCCTAAAGTTTATTTTTTAGCAGCCTTTGTCACAGCAGGTTGTGATACTTGTTGCAGTGATTGGATAAATTTGCCTGTGTTCCCTTGGTTATTGGAACTATCAGTTGTTTCAGATTTACACACACAAAACCAAAAAAATCCCAACTACTCTGGTAATTCCAACCACTGTAATGTATGCAACTCACTATTCCATAAAGCAGACTAGGTTTTGAAAGCTAAAGTTACTGTGAAAACTAACAGAATCCTTTATTTGATTTATTTCCCCTTCCTCTAGTATGGATGTGGATGGAGAATCAAAGAAACTATTGGGTTTGGGACAGAAGCACTTGGTAATGGGAAATATTCCAGCTGCTGTGAATGCATTCCAGGAGGCTGCAAGCTTACTGTGAGTAGTAGAAGGTTCTGTGTGTTTTTGCTGGGCTTGGGCTTCAGCTTGGCTGTTCTGGTGTGGATTATGCAAGAAAGATTGGGATTTTTACATAACATGTTTATAATTTATAATGCAGCTGTGAGGGGACAAGCTATTTAAAGTCACCTAAGAGTTGGACAATGCTGTAGTTGGTGTGCAGTTTAGGTGGCTTTTGTGATAAGCATTACCAGCAGAGTTCCCTAAGGAGGGAAAGGGGTTTGGTAGTTTATTATGCAGGTGTCTTCTCTAGTAACTTGCTCACTAGTCTTGGTCAATCTTTCTGAATGTACTATTTGGGTTACAGATTAATTTCCTCATTTGGATGTTTGAAGCCATATGTAATTGAGAGAAGCATTCAATATTTGTTTAAAGCAATAGGAAGTGAGCCAAGAAAGTGGTCCTTTTGTTAGGATAGGAATATTTAATGTTCAAGTTCACATATCCATATCTAAAGCAGGCACAGGCAAATAATTCTTTATTATTTTTGTAGGGGTAAAAAGTACGGTGAGACAGCGGATGAGTGTGCAGAAGCTTTTTTTTATTATGGAAAATCTCTCCTGGAGTTGGCAAGGTATGGTGACAGTTTGTCATTTGGTGAAGAGTGTGTCTGTTGTAAGAGGATTTCACTCCTTCATGGGCAGCACTGCCCTGGGTGGGATGGGCTGTGGCACTGCAGCTTGTGCAGTTCAAATAAGGGTATTAAATATCCAAGGGATAACAAACTCCTATTCCCTTTAGAATGGAAAATGGTGTGCTGGGAAATGCCTTAGAAGGGGTGCAGGTGGAAGAGGAAGGAGAAAAAGCAGAAGATGACTCTGCACTGCCAGCTGCTGATGGTATGTAAAGCTGCCTGCCCTGCCATGGAGGCTCCAGGCTGTGTTTTTTTGTTGGAATGATCCAAGTTTAGTCCATTGGTATCTTGGGTAGCCTGAATCATTCTATTGAAACTCTTGGCAGTCTGAATGGACTCTGTTTCTGTTTGGTTTTTTTGTAGTCTTGCTTAAAGATGAGCAAAATCTGTAAAACATCTGCAAGGAGCTGGTCACTGAAAGCATGTGTAAAGGGTCACCAGGCGTCCGTGTCCTCAACACTGCATTCAAACTTGCTTTCTTGAGCTTCACCGCTGATTCCGCTGCTTTGTAACCTTGTAGCAGTACAGTGTGTGTAGTTCCAGAGGTCAGAGTCTCTGTACAAAGTCCCAAGAACAGTGGCTATTTTATGCTGCCTGCAGCTGGAGAGGATACAGGGGTTCCTGTCCATCCAGACTGTTAAAGCACTGGCACCTCTCGCTATGCTGTGACTAAAATCGCTGCACAACCGCACGCTGCTTGAGCGGCCGCTTGCAATGCTGCAGTCTGGGGAAGGGGAAGGGACTTAGAGCAAGCAGCTATGTTGGTTGTCTCCTAATTCCTTGTACTTGGAAAATGAAGCTTTTAGGAGTGTCATCCAACTTGGTAACAAACCAACACACTGGAGGGTCTTGAGGGTGGTGTTGTCAGTGCTCGTTAATGTCTTTATCACTAAACTCGAAGAAATGTTTATGCTTCCTCAATCATGTAGAAGAAGCAAGGGAGGAGTTGAGAGAACAGGTTTATAACGCCATGGGGGAAAAGGAAGAGGCCAAAAAGTCCACGGAAGAGTCTACAGTACTCTCTGAGAAGGAAATCAAAGAAGAGGATGTTGAAATGAAAGATACTAAAGAAGAACCCAAAGAAGCAGCTGTTGACAAGGATGCAAAGAAGCACGAAGAGGCTGAAGAGAAGATTGAGATTTCTGTGGGAAAAGAAGAAACTTCAGAAGAGCAGAAGAAGCAGGTGCCTGTGAATGAGGAGGCAGCTGTGGAAGAGAAGGAAGTAGAAAAAGAGCAGAAGACAGTGCAAGAGGACAAGGTAGAGAAGGCAGCTGAGGAGGAGAGAACGACAGAAGAGTCAGACAAGGAGGAAAAGGCATCTGGGGAAGAGACTGAAGCAGGAGAAGTGGCTGTGGAAGAGAAGGGAGAGACGGGAGAACAGGCAGCAGAAGCAACAGAAAAAGAGTCAGCTGTGGAGAAGGGAGAGGCTGTAGAAGGGCAGGCTGAGACAGCTGTGGAAGAGAAGGCAGAAGCACAGGCAGCAGCTGCTGTGGAACAGAAAGAAGCTGCAGAAGGGGATGGAGAGGAGGCTGAACAGAAGAAGGCAGAAGAGAAACATGAGCCAGTAGAGACAGTTACAGAAGAGAAACCAGGTGAATCTAAAGAGACAGAGTCCTCAAAGGAGCCTGTGCCCACAGAGGGCAAAGAGCCACCTAGTGACATGAAAGAAAAGGCTGAAGTTGCTGCTAAGGTAGAGAAAGAGGAAAAGAAAGGTGACCTGATTGAAGAGGGTGAAGGTGCTAAGGTAGAAAAAGAAGAGAAAGATGACCTGATGGAAGAGGGAGAAGGTAACACTGAGAGGCAAAAAATACTTGTGGGTGGATGACTTGATGGATTTGGCTAACAAATGGGTAAAAAGTGTTCCATTCAGAATTTTCTGTTTGCCTTAGAATAAGGAAAAGGCACAGTAAAGGGGCTCTTGAAGGACTTTACATACAAGTAAAGTTTCAAGGAATAGTGAATGGTCTCAGTTTCTCTAGACTAACGCTTAACTAACTGCAAAGCAAGTCTTACTTGAAAGCAAACTGACAGCCCTGTGAAATGTGTGAGTAATGGCTAGGCTGGTGGAGAATACTGA